GAAGCAACAAGGTATACCAACTTCCAACACAACTAATACAACACAGGCTCTAACAAACAAATGCACCACTCACCAATGAAGAAGATTCACGTACACTTGCCCTTGTGACCTCACAGACCAATTGCATAATGAGGAGGAGAGGTGCTCTCCCAAAGGACAAGCACTACAAAAAGTCCATCTCTGGTCTACACAATAGATCCAATACAGTAGACCTTCTAACTATATATTAACTATTAAAACCTAGGTGAGTCTTGACTACTCTAGTAGGTTTAGATTGCAGATAATTAGTCTAGCTGTAAGCTTTACCCTGGTGGAGTTTTAGTTTAGCTTTTAGTCTAAGCTCTCATTCTTGAATATAATTTATATTTTTTTGTATGTATACAAATTAAGTAGTTATGTAGTCTTTATATAATTACTTGTATAAATTACTCAATAAAGATACGAGCAAGGCCTCACCTTAACAACAAAAAAAATAAATAAATAAAATTATGTTGATATTTTGCTAAAGAATCAATAAAATTGATATTAATTGAAGTTGATAGTTTTTTATAAAATTTATTTATTTTACTAAAATGAGCATTTTGAAATTACTAAAAACTTTTTTAGGATGAGACATTTTAAATTTTATTTATTAAAAAATTAAATTTTACAAAATAAATTAATTCACTTCTTAAATATTTTAAAACAATTATATATTTGTATGTAATAATATATATGAGCATTATTTAAAGCCCACATTTTTCAAATTTTTTTTTTTTAACTCAAAATAATACTCATGTATGTTCTAAAATAATATGCTGCTTAAATATACTATATTACATATTTTGATCAAATTTTTTAGGCTAAGTTTATTAATAAAAGTAGAACTTCCTCTTGTAATTCAAATTTGCTAGAATGATTTGAATTACTATACATGTGCAACCTGAAATAATGTGTAGGTGCATATTATTATGCACAATAATTTTGCATATGAAGTAGTTTTTTTTATAATAATTACTGCTGTATAATTACAATTATTAAATTTTTCGAAGTATAAATTCTATAAAGAGTAATATTATAATAAAAAAAAAATAGTAATCTAAGTATAAATTATGTCTAACTTTATTCAACCCCCTACTCTATTATATTATAAATTATTCATGCTATAATTAAACTATTAAAAAAAACTTTTTATTATAGCTTATGTTGGGTTGTTAATAAAGCCAATAGAGCAATAGTTACGTGAATAGAGCTCAAATCTAATATCCATTGACTTTATTCACAACTCTATTAGGCATCATTGAGCTCTATTGTTAACCAAGGCTTATACGCTCTATTGGGATCCATTGAGCACCATTGTTAACCCGCATTATACAGCTTTATTAGGCTCTATTGAGCACTATTATTAACCCAGACTTAGGGCATTCTTAAGTACCTACCTCAATGAATTCAATAAAAAATCTGATCGGCTAGTTTGATCAAACAAACCAATCAGATTCATTATTGAGTCCATTGAGGTAAATGCTTGAGAACGCCCTTATATAGCTTTATTGAGCTCATTGAGCTCCATTGTTAACCCAGGCCTATATGTATTAGGAGAATACTATGGATTGGATCCACAAAAAATTGTGCAGGCAATTAATTGCATTACTAACACAAATTATATGATTAATTATGATTAGTAAATGTTTAGCATTTAACTGTACCCATTTAGGCCGTTTGAGTTAATTTTTTGGTTAAAATTACTTTTCAGGACTTTAAAAAGATAGGGGAGAGGGCAAATGAAACAAATATATAAATGAACAACCTATTTTTAATGTAATAAATCTATTATAGTGAACTGGCTTCAAGTTAAATTTAGCCTAGAGATTCTATTTAAGTCGCCAATTAGGTCAGAAAATTTTGATTCAGTAGTTAACATTACATTTCTATTATAGAAAAAATATATAAATAAATAAATAATTATATAATGCATTCATCCGAGAAAAAGAACTTCGTATGTACGTATATACATACGTACAATTTTATAGCCAAAACTCTTGTGATCTAGTGATCAGATCTGCATCATGCAGTGGCAGTGATCACAAATCGGAATTTTGGCCTATTGCTGAATACAAATTTTGTCCCGAAATAAAAAAGTATTGATCGAATAATTGGGTTGTAATTATTATTCCCATAAAAGTTAAATGTTTCATTAATACTAGTTCTCTAGCTCTTCACAATTGAATAAAAAAACACTTGAAAGCTATTTTTTCAGCAGTTTTTTTCACCATAAACTGAAATAAATATACGAAAGTAGGAACTAAAATTTTAGCTTTATTTTTTATTATTTATTTTTTCTCTTTTTATTATTTATTTATTTTTCATTTTTTAATTTTTTTTTGAATTTGGTATAATTTTTTTTTTTGAATTATTTATTTTATTTTAAATTATATTATTTTATTTTAAGGGGTAGTTTCAAGAAGAGTGAACCTAGTGATATCTTCATGATCATCACATCGCATAATTAAATACTCGGCCAAAGTTAGGGTTAGTGTTAGGGTTAGATGATAGTATAGTTTAGGCCAAATTAGTTAATGCTAGTAAACAAATGACGTCATTCCATGATTTCACATGATGTGATGATTACTGGGTTCATTTTTCTTTAAGTGTTCTATTTTAAGTTAGTTTATTTTATTTTAAATTATTTTATTTTATTTAAATTATTTTATTTTATTTTAAATTATTTTTTATTTTACTTTGCCATATAACCGCAACACAGCATATAGGGGTTGTTTCGAATTTCGGCCTGAATTAAACTTAGTTTAGGCTGAAATTCAAAGCCACACTCTATTGTGTTATTTTGTAGTTATACGGTATTTTTTTAAATTTTACTTTTTTTTTATATATTCGGTTTACCGGGGGCTAGTGATGTGCCGCATACAGTACTATATACAGTATAGTACGTACTGTATGTACTATATGCTAAAATTTTTGCCGATCACTTGTTCCAGCCAATCAGATGCCAGAAAGGGAACTATACGTATGTACAGTACACACTGTACGTACTGTATGTACTGTAGCTAAGATTTTTCAGGTATTATATAAATGGTACATCACTACCAGGAGCATAAAAGTGGAGGGGGGAGGGGTAATGTTAACTGAAAAATTAACTTTGAACGGCCTTAACCATTTATTTAGGGCTGTTAAAAGTCCAGTTCAATCGGTTCTGACTTTACAAATAGGGACTTTGATTGGGACTCAGTCCTTGAGTCGGTCCTTGGACCGAGCCTGCATATGATAACGTGATTACTAATTGATAACAATAATTTATATCTTTGACCTTTATTATCATTATACTTTATTTACTGCAGTACTGCTATCGCTAAAAATACATATATAAAACAATTTTATTCTACATTTATTTTTAGAATTCCCACCTCAGACCAACTCTTTATACATAAAGAAGCTCTTGTTGATTCTTCAAGAAGGCTGTTTCTCTCAAGATTTAAAGTATGTTTGGCTACAGAAAAGGCACGCTCACAAGGGATACTTGTGCCTGCAATGCAAAATAATTAGCTGCCATCAAAGCTATATTTGGAAAGTAGTTGGCTTTTGTTTTCCACCACCACAATGGATTAGTACTCGGCTCTGGAGGTAGTGAAAGATAAGTGACTAATTCATTCATTGTAACCTTCTTATTTTTACTTGAATTTCCCAGATTCCAAAAATATTCCAAAGGATCTTGTTTAGGCTCTATTTCCTCACTATCTATGTGGTGAAGAGAATAAGAGTTTTTTAGACTTTCAATAGCTGATTGGTGTTCTTCTTCTGTAAATGTTTTGAACTTAACAGATGGATCAAGAAGAGTTGGAATAGCTGAAGATTGCAAAAGATATGTCCAGTATTTTGTTATTTTTTTTTTTGCTTCTTTAGCTGTGTCATGATATATACTTATATTTGCTTTCTCAATATAGAAGTTAAGATGTGTTAAAAGTCCTTGAAAAATTATTCATAATGAATCGTGTAAGGGTAGTGAAGTTTTGGATAACTCTAGTGTGGCTTTGTAAAAAGGTTCAAGAAACTGAACTATTTCCTTAACTATTACCCAATCTTCAGCATCTAAATAATTTTCTTTTAAAGTAGGATGAAGTCTTACAAGATTGTCTATAATATCTTGAATTTCAATGAATCATTTAATTATAAGATAAGTGGAGTTCCATCTTATCTCAATGTTGAGCTCAGGATGGAGAAATGTGCGATTATAAATAGCAAAAATTCTCTTTATCTCATTCAAAAGTGGAGGGGAATTTCTAATTTTATTACAGATACACCGCACCTTTTTTATTTGTATAATATAATATTTCTGGCCATCTTTGACTGCGAGGTTCAAAATATGTGCAGCACATCGTATATATGTGAAATTTGGGTTGATATGATTTTGGAGATAGTTTAAGCATGTTTGATTATTAGAAGCATTATCTCCAGTAAAACTCTATTGTAGTAATAGATTAATAATATTAAAATATTAATATATATTAGAGTATTTATTTACATATAATACTTACTATGCTTTTATCTTTTATCTCTAGATCTTCGATGGCCTCAAGTATTTTTTCACCAAGATACACACCAGTATGAGAGTTATGTAAGGGTACAGAGTCAAGAAGAAGGGTTTTCATTACCCACTCTGCATCGACCCAGTGGATAGTAATACCAAGGAATTGTTATTTATTACATGCTGTCCAAACATTGATAGTAAGTGCTAGTCTGCTACAATTTGATTTTAATATATGTTTTATTTCTATTCTCATAGTTTCAAATTTAGTTTTAATAGTTGTAGAAACTGTTTGACGGCATGGAAGCTTATATCTTGGATCAAGATTTGTAACGAATTTAATAAAAGGATCTTCATCAACTATTGAAAATGCTAATTGTTTCTTAATTATTAATTGATATAGATCGTGATTTAAAGATTTTATGCGATCTCTGCTAACTTTATCAGTCATTGAATATGAAGAATAAATAACTTTTGCATTTTTTCATTTAAAATCTCTATAAAGGCTTGGATGCTTACTTTCAAAATGGCGTGATATCATTGATAAAGATGTACCTGGAGCCCATTTACTGGGCTTTTTAATGTCAGGAATGTTAGAACATACATCACAAACACGGGTACCATCGTCAAGTTCATTTAAATAATCATGAATCGGTGCTGTTCTTTTTTTTGAATTTTTTGTGTTATTGTTTTTAATAACATTATTAATAGTATCATTTTCTGAGTAACTTTCATAGATATTTTCATCTGAAAGATCAGGAATTGGAGAAATAAAATCGGGAATTTCTGAAGAAACAGGATCAAGAACCTCTGAAGAAGCAGGGCTAGAAATTGGAGAAGTGGGATCAAAAGTTAAAGAAGCGGGTAAGCTAAGGCTAGACATCGTGAAAGATTTATTAGAAAACAAGCTTGATGCTTATGTTTTTTTTTTAATAAAAAAAATAAAATTGAGCCGCGAGACTTTTTATTTCTAATCTAAGTTATTTTTGCTATTCAATGACTTAATCATGTAATGATCTAATTAATCATCTCAATACAAATTTAATTAACTGATAAATATATATATATATATCACGATTGTTAATCATAAAACATAAAGACAATTGCATTCGAAATTTTACTATTTTTTATTTCACAAACATACTATTGGTGATATTTTTTATAAGCGAAGTTCATAATTTATTCCAAATTCTATACCATATTTTCAATTATTCAGGTAATTTTTTTAGTACATTTATTATTATAATAAAAGCGTTTACAAGCTATCACAATTGTATTGTATTAAACAATAGAGTAAATTGGCCAATCACAAAAAACAAATGACATGTACCCCTTACATTTGGGACTCTGTCCGAAACAGACTTGAGTCGGTCCCTAAAAGTCCATGTGAAGTCGATTCAAGGACTGGGTTCGGCAAACTTTTTAACACCCCTACATTAGGGCAATCTTTCCAAAGAAAAGATTTCCTTTTCCGTTGTTTGTATGGTTTGGGTTTGCTTATGATAATTGAT